TCTGCAGCTATATTTTACAGTGTATGTATAGCTTTTGACAGCTACAGAAGCACTCAGACCTACAACCAACAGATTTGATATTGCAGAACACATAACCCCTTTGATAAACCAAATTATACACACTCCACCCAAAACCCACTAAGTAATTGTTAAATATAACTCCAAACATTTGTCTTTACTTTAGTAATATTGATTGACTGTTATACATGTTATGACCACGCCTTTCCGGAAGCTGAGGCTGAATAAACGCGTTCATGTTTGACTTTCGTGGTGTCTGGGCCCAAACAGGTGGGGTTGTGGGGTCCGGAGGAGTTCAGAGTAGTGTAATGAGATTGTGTTGACAGACTGCCCACTCTGTCCTTCTCAAAGAGGGGCTCCTGTTACGGATACAGTTCCATAGGGTTTTCCCATAGACCACAATGTAACACAAGACGCACTGGCAACCCATGACTGTGCACTTAACCAGTTAGATCTCTTTTAAGATGTGTGCAGAGTGAAACATTATGTAGATGGAAACTCTCTGAAAAAACTGCAAATGCTCTCTGTCTATGACAGGGATAGGACGAGGCTGTTCTATTCCAAGTAAGGGCATGATGTGTACTTGTGACCTGTTATCTGGTGACTCATTAAAGATGTAGATCAATTAATCTTATTGAAATTTGAAAACCTATATTGACACATTTTTGTTTCATGTCCACACTGGTTATTCACGAGCCAGTAAACTGCTATTAGTGAACACATATGTGGCCTTAGACGGTGTCCATCATTAAAATAGTGTTCAAGGCATCTGGCAATTATCAATGATAACAGTCTGGTCTTCTCTCAGGTCTCTCTCTGATCTCTCTCTCTCTCTGTTCTCTTTCTAGTCTCTATAGTCTCTCTTGTCTCTCTCTTTCGTCTCTTTCTGATCTCTCTCTGGTCTCTCCAAAGTATGCCCAAACCAAGATAAAGACCTAACCCTAATCCAACTTCTAGCAGTTAACTTATTGTTTGACATTGCATGGTTTTCTGTTGTTGTTGTAGTTTTTTAAAGAACACCAGAACAACTGATGTCACGTTCTCTATAAAGTGAAGTTCAAACAGAATAGAATTGGATAACGCGGTCTGACCGCTGCCCTTGGTTTAATGGACGAGGCTCTCTGAGGTGAAATGTGATAATGAGTGGGGAATGTGAGGCCACGCGAGAATGAGACTCCAGACTGGACTCTGCTGCCGATAATGAAGATCACTGCAGTCTGTGGCTATCAGAGGAGAAGATGAAGGGGGGGAGGCAAAGAGAAAGGGGGAGCCAGTGAAAGAGAAAGGAGGGAGGTTGATTGGAGCAGCCCGACTTCATTAAAGACGCTGAGGAGAGTCGGGTCTTGGCAACAAAAATGAATGATGAGCGCGACGCCAGAAGTTAAGCGAAGCTGCAAGAGCAAAGAGGGAAACAGAGAACAGCTTTCAAGCACCAGGAAAAACACTTAAGGAGAACGAACTGTTACCCCTTATAATGGCTGTCTGAGAGAGACACCCGGGGGGGCGGAGAGAGAGAACAGAGAGAGAGAGACAAGAGGACCCGAGAGAGAACATAGAGTGAGAGCAGAGGGACCAAAGACAGACCAGAGAGAGTCTAGAAAGTAGATCTATCTGTTACCGTTGATAATTGCCAGATGCCTTGGACAATGTATTATTGATGTGTCTGGGGCCACATTTTGAAGCATTTGGATATTAGGTCTGCTTTTTAGCCATTATGAAGTCAATGATAGCAGTTTTCTGTCTCATGACAAAAAACAGTGTGGACATGAAACAGAAAATATGTTGGAGAAGTTTCCATATAGATCTGATAATTGCAATTATACAACACGTGAACAAACACACAGTGAGTATTAGAGAGAGTTCAACATGAAAGCAACACATTATATGAGAGAGACAGGTCAGAGAGAGAAACTATTGAGAGATCAGAGAGACCAGAGACAAAAGAGAAAGACTTAAAGACCTTATGCAGGGTTTTTTTTTCAAAAATTGTGGATATCAAAATTGTATGACAGTTAAACAATTAATGTCGATCTGAAATGGATTCCGGCAAAAAAAAATCCTGTATTTTATTAAAAGAATGTGGAGCGGAGACACTGTGGGTGGTCTCTCGGAGGCACCTGCTCTTTGTGTGGATGGGAGTTGGAGGGATGAGTTTGGCCCGTGTTCAGCGAATCAAGGTGAGTGTCAGTGGATATCCAGCACCTAGATCCAGTGGTGACAGTTTGACCGGTGTCCCGGGTAGGCACAGGCTCTTTTGGCTGTGTTTTTTTTGTTTAAGTCGCGGGGAGCGGTTGGTGTTCGCCGTTTTCACGGCGTTCTCGGGTGCACAAACCGTGGTCACACTGGTCTCCCCTTGGAGTGCTTAAAACCCCGCCGCAGAACCGTGTGAAGATCAGGGTTGAGTATAGGTTTAGCGGGGCATTAGGAAGCGACTTCTGACCCTTTGGGAAAAACAACTCAACCGCCATCTTTAAAACCGGCTGCTCTGCTCGGCTCTGCTTCGGCTATATTACGTCCTCCTCACTCCAGAGAAATGGAATCACACAGAAAGCCCCAAAAGTCAGCGTCCTGGTCGGTCGAACTTCCTTTGAATTCTTTCTTTTGGCCTGGAGAGAGGAACGTGTGGACGTTCCTCTCTCCAGGCCAAAAGAAAGAATTCAAAGGAAGTTCGAGGCTCAACACAGAGGTTTCATGAGGTTTTCAGGGAGATCACCAAAAGAGAGAGACGAGAGACAAAGACCGGGTAGTGAGAGACCAGAGACACGAGAGGGAGAAACTAGAGAGAGAGAAGCTATAGAAAGAGACTAGATAGAGACACCAGAGAGACCAACTATAAGAACATGTTGAATACCGCTATCACAGAACGGTGTGTTCTGTGGAAGTATCATCATTGTCACTGTTTTGTTATTTAAAGACATAGTGAGTGTTGCTTTGTGTCTTTCCGTGAGAATTTTCCCTTTTTAAATAAGTGACAGCTCGTGTTTAACATGCTTAAAAATAACTCTTTAAATATAAATTGAGTGAAAGTTCATTGGACTCATGCTGGGCTGAAACAAACCCAGTCTCAAGCCTGAATTCGAACTCCACTTGAAATATGAGACAACTTAAGGTGAGAGAGACCAGAGAGAGACCAGAGAGAGACCAGAGAGAGACAAGAGAGAGACAAGAGAGAGACACATAGAGCGAGACCAGAGACAGCAAAGAGAGAGACCTTAGAGAAAGACCACAGAGAGACCAGAGAGTAGATAGATGATAGATAGATACTTTATTGATCCCCGTAGGAGAAATTCAGGTGTTCAGTAGCAGCAAAAATAAAAAATTAACTGTATAGTTCTAAAAAGCTAGCAATAGTAATAATCAGCAACAGCCCTTCACGTCACAGCAGCAGAGGTAGAGTAGCCACTGGGTGGATCAGGACAGGTCACAGCAGCAGAGGTGGAACATCCACTGGATGGAGCTGGACAAGTCACAAGGTTGAGCAGCCGTTTGGTTCGAACCATCTTCTCCGTTCCAGTCCAAAGCAAAAGACTGAATGCTAGCATTCCCCCAGTGGGCCCTTGCCTGAGCCACTTGGTTGGACCATGAATCCTCTCTGCTCCGGTCTGGAACCGTGCAAAACCATGAACACTGCCCTGCAGCAACATCTCAGATGGACAAAGTAAGAAAAATAGAAATCGTAAAGAACAAAACAACAACTGTTTCAGAGATACTTAGGACTTGCTGCTCTTTACAGTGCATTCAAAAGAGTAAAAGTAGACCCAGGGATAGAAGTAGACGCATCTGTTACCGTTGATAATAGACAGATGCCCTGGACACTGAAAGCAAGTCTCTGACTCTTTTCTCAATATTTCTCATGTTTATTTTTGTGAAACCTTTCTCATTTCTGTGTGTGTCTTGGCTCGGGTTGTAGATGTGTGTTTTTAAATGTCGGACCCTGCCCACATAACACCCACAGCGGGGTCCGAACATGGCAGCTTCCTGGGGCTTTTCATAGAACTTCGTCCAAAACACAACTACCGAAAAAACACAGAGAAACATGCAACTTTAAAGTGATGTGATAAGGCTGAGATCTCACGTATGTGCACAATATGCTCAAGTCTCTGTGACAGGATGTAAACAGTGCATGAATAAGTCCAGTATCTCTCCTAACTGAATGAGCAGACCAGGTGCATGTTTTAGAAGACGGGCTTTTATGGTGTTTTCAAATTATGAAATATGATCTTTGTAAGTCCCGCCATGGCCTTGCACTAAAGTACATCTAAGACATGTTAGAGACCTATGAACCAATTCGGACTCTGAGGAGCACAGGGACTGGCTTTCTCCTGGGCCTCTGAGGAGCACAGGGACTGACCTCTTGCTGGTGCCCAGAGTCTAAACATGGGGAGGCAATTAAAATCTGAAACAGTCTTCCTGAAAATATGAGACTGACAGTGTTCAAATCCAGGTTAAAAACACTTATGTTTCAACTGAAGGATAGAATCTAAACTCCTTTTAATATACTGTGATCATTTATGATTATTCATTGTGTGATTTAAAGGCTTTTCTTGTTTTGTTCAGCATTTTGAGCTGCCTTGTGTGTTTTCTGTACCATACAAATAACCTTGCTTTGTCGATGATGTTAATAACTGTCTCTTTGTGCATCTTTATTAGTTACTGCAAACATTAGATATCCAAAACTTATGGTACGATACCATTTTGATCTCAATGTACAATATGAATTGTGATTCCGATGGGGCTGACTGTGTTGTTGTTGGTGTGTTGTTAAGCAGCCCAATTGGATCATGTTTCACATTTTTTCAGGAAGACTGATCCACTTATTAAACGTACTTAGAAAGACACTAAAAATGTCTTTCTACAATTTTTTTAAATTATTTTTATGAATAATAGCTGACAACTGCATATTATCTATTACTGACAACGACAACAAATAATTAAGATATTTTGTTTTTTAGAACTCAACTTTTGGCTTGTGATTTGTGCAGGAATTGGAGGGCTTGAAGAGTTTGTGCTGAAGTCTGCCACTCTGTCCACCTCTCCGGCCTGTCCTCCCTTCACGCCTCTCAACTTTGAGGCCACACCCATTGTTCGCGTTGCCATCGAGCCCAAGCATCCAAGTATGTAATCTCAAAGAAGGGCTGAGTTCAAAGCATAGTCTGTAAACAGTTGGACAATGCTAACCCGCTAGCTCCAACTCGCTCTCGCTTCTATTGACTTACATGTTTAAGTAAACTCCTCTGTCTCAGTAACCATTCATGTCCCACTCAACATTTTGGGCTTAAATCTGTGATCCTGGTTTTTATATGACCATATTGTCTTTGTAAATCACATGAGCCTTACAAGGAATGACCAATCAGATGTCTTCATTTCTGGGGAAAAATCTAACTTGCCTTAACAACCATCTGGCCCTATTACGGCACGAAGCTAACGCTGTCAAAGCAAATGCCCATATAAGGAAACTAGTCAGTCTACTCATAACATACAGTCTATTATTTAGAATGTCCTGTTATGAGCTGGATCAATCAAGGGCCTTCTGTTCTTGAATTTAGTTATAGCTAGCAAATACATGAGCAGGGGCAGACCAGCACCTCTCCTGGTTGTTGTTGTTGACCTCACATTTGCATATATTTAGCTCCACATTCCCACTCAAACAGCTGCTTCCAGTTTGCTCTAGTTGACCTCTTGCACTAAAGCTAACACCAAGGTGACGTCTGCATTCGCTTAGTCAACTCATTCTTTTTAAGAATTGATTCTTTAACCTGCCAACCAAACCAGTACAAAACAATGATTGATCAGACAGAGGATGATCTGCTCCAGCGATGAAAAAGTAAATGTCAAAGTGAGATGCTTCACAAAAACAAAGTTGGCGCATGCTAGCAGCAGATGGATCCTGTTTATGGAGGCTCAGAACTTAAACATTAAATTTCCAGTCCATAAAGCTCAGACATCAGCCAAACGTTACAGAGTGAAATAAATGCTGACAGAAAGTCATTTACTTAGTCCTCTATTTTCCAGAAGTACACAATAGTTGTTGTATGTATTTATTTAAAACATATTAATTGTATACAGAAATAATATTAAACATACAAGATTATAGAGTACTCAAGGAGCAGAATTTGAAAAAATGTTGTTTGAAAAGCGGTTTGAAAACACGATCTTATTGGGCTCCAAACTTTCTCTCTATATGTCTATCTCTCCCCCTCTCTCTGTCTCACTCTCTATCTCCCTTTCTCTCGCTCTCTCTCTCTCGCTCTCTCTATCGCTCTCGCTCTCTCTATCGCTCTCGCTCTCTCTATCACTCCCTCTCACCCCCTTCCTCGCTATCTCTCTCTCTCATTCTCTCTGGAGTCCAGTCCTCGGCCCAGCCCTAAGACCTAAGTCTAGTCCTCAGTCCTCGGCCCCCAGTCCCCGGTTCTGACTCTGGTCCTATCTGACCCAGGTGAGATGCCGAAGCTGGTCCGGGGGATGCGACTGCTGAACCAGGCTGACCCATGTGCTGAGGTCCTGATCCAGGAGACTGGAGAACATGTGTTAGTGACCGCTGGAGAGGTCCATCTGCAGCGCTGTCTGGACGACCTGAGGGAAAGGTCAGAGAGTCAGACAGAGACACACACACACACACACACACACACACACACAGGGAGAGAGACATAAACACACAGAAGAATGTCATCTCAAACTGTTTCCTGAGTTTAAAGTGTAAGCTTCTTTCTTCGTCCTTTTCCTTTTGAGATTTGGTCTTGAAATGATATACAGTACACCTTTAAAAATACATTGTAAACTGCTCAAAAAAACTACTACTACTCTACTGCTACTTTGATGCATGGTCCTCTACATTTTATTCCTACATCGTGATACATTTGATCATTTGATTTGATTGATTGATTATAGGCAAGACAAGTTTATTTGTATAGCACAGTTAACACATAAGGCAACTCAGAGTGCTGGACAAAACCAGATAGAAAGATCAAATTAATCACAGTACATAAGTAGACTCACATTTTCAGGAAGACCGTTCGAGATATTAGCTGAAACGAACTGAAACACTGCCTCTCTATGTTTAGTCCTGATTCCGAGCACCAACAGGAAGCCAATTCCTGGAGGCCAGGAATTCTGAGGCTCCTCAGAATTACACATCAAAATGTGACACGGCTGAATTTTTCCTGTTGCTTTTAGCTTTTTTTATATGGCTCAGTTGTGTCCTTGTCTGACGTCTTCAGTCTTATTTTTCCTCTCATGGATTTTCAGCTGTTTAGTGTTTTAAACCTTTGTTAGTCTCATCTTCAACACACTGAGGTAAATGTCTGGGACCAGTCTCCTCTGTGTAATTACGTTGGTGTTAGTGGATATTGACCGGCCCTTTCTCCACTGTACTGCTGCTCATCAGACAGACTAGAGCCAGAATCCTCAGTCCCCGTTGGGATCGTCATCAGGGGGCTACATTCATCGCTCTAAATATGTCATTAGCAGTGGAAGGTGACACCAATCTGAGAGACACCAGTTCATTAAAAGGGTTTTCATAAAAAGCAGACAACTCGAGAGAGAGATGATATAAGATGCTTCAAATACGTTTGAGGAGAGTGAGTTTCATTCAAACTGATTTGTTTGACATCTGATTAGAGTAGAGTAGGTCGGTTCGGGTCGGGTCGGGTTGGGTTGAGTAGGTGCTTATCTCCTTTACTATAGTCGTAGCTGGACATTAACAGTAGAGGTCTTGTCCGGAGAGAACAACTTGTTCTTGGTGAGAACACTGCTGCTGCACTCAATAACAGCAGCAGTACATTTCACTCTTATTTGTATTATTTTAAACCATTAAATATCAACGTCATACAAAAGTCCAGAGCAAAACAAAAATACACAAAAAACGTGAGGTTTCAGGAGATTCATGTCTGAATGAAAACAAACATTGAAAAGACTTCAGGTCTGTGACCTGATGCTTTCTATGCTTATCTCCAACTTGATGATCAGAATTTTTTTTTTTTATTCTGGAGTGGGTCCTTGCCAATGCAGGAGGTTCTAAGGATAGTCATGATCCAGGACATGTATTTATAATTAAGGACGGTGGTCATTCCTCTCCCACAGTAGCTCCTATTGGCCCTACGTCTCTTTCTCTGCTCCCTCTTTGGTCTCTCACTATGGTTTGACTCCTACAGTATGTGTTTGTTATCGTTGCATTTCCTGTGTTCAAACTGTTTGATGCTTTGATCATAAAGTGACTTAATCCAGGTGGACATATGGGCAAAACTAAATATCTCGATATTTTTTTCCCAACTCCTGATGACGATATTGTTACGATATCTTTAAAATCAATCATTTTTACACTAAATAATCTGCAATGTTTTGCTGCCAGGGCATCTATAGATAGACAGTATAGATCAAAGTAGCAGTTTTTTATTTGTTAAGTGCTTCACACATCTTTGCAAAACATCCACAAACATATACTAACATTAAAAATCAAATTCAAGTAACACGGGAAGAACACATCCAAAAAGGCTTGCTCAATATTTACTGAAATGTACAAATAAAGCAGTGATTGGCTTTTTTAGGCACGCATTTGACGGTTGGGCATCTTGCCTGCTCTAATTTTAGTATTGGAGATATGTAAAAAGAAAAAAGAAAAATTATATCTTCAAATTCACTTTTGCGATATTATTGTTTACGATATACATCGCCCACCCCTACTCTCTTCACATCCTCCATAGGGTTAAAGTACTTTTATAAACTTAAGTATCTTTCTCCTGCTGTCAGAAACTCATGCTGTTGCTTTCTCTCAGTGTTGGGCACGGTTCACTTAGATCTTTGACTCAGCACTTTGTCTGTGGGACGGAGTTCTGCTGAACTTTGTAATTACCAAAAGCCATGTTTCTGTATTCACCAAGGCATCAAGCAGCCGAGCAGAGAGCTGTGTTTCATCAGCTCTGAGTCCAGAGGAAGAAAAACACATTTTTAAAGAAGGAAAAAGAGGGAACAGGAAAGGAATGAGAAACCCAGGAGTTAATTCAGTTTGTTTGGCGCCAGGTCCAAAACCAGGCTTTAAATGTGTTCTCTGTCCCTCCATACACCAGTCACCTTTTGCAGTCTTGCAGAGTCACCAATTTTTTAAATGTTTTTTCTACATGAGATTCTCATGCGCTGCATGTAACTAAAACAACATCATATAACTGCTATTAAAACATGACAGCTACCTTCATTTAAAATGGCTCTCACTGGTTTTTCCCCCTGTAGTCTCTCTGGTCGCTCCCTGGTCCTCCAAAATCCTCCAGCTCCAGTAGTCCTGACCAAGCCGAGCATCAGTATTTGGGTTCCCGGGCACTGTATTACGGCAATCACTGCTCCTGACGTCAGCTTTAGTGGCATCAGGATGGGTCAAATGCAGAGGACTAATTTCCCCACCTTTACCTTTACTGGTCTCCCTCTCTGGTCTCTCTCTTTCTCTCTGACCGGTCTCGCTCTGGCCTTTCTCTGGTTATTGTCTGGCTGGTTTCTGGTCTCTCCCTGTCGCTCACTCTGGTTTATCTGTCTCTCTGGTCTCGCTCTGGTCTCCATCGGGTCTCTGGTCTCTCTCTCTGGTCTCTCCCTGGTGGCATACTCAGGTCTCTCTCTATATCTGGTTTCTCTTTGGAATACAGTGGTCTGGCTTCTCAACATTTCTCTATCTGTGTTTCTTTCATCCATTTGTTATTCATTTGAGTAGCCTTCCATGTCGTATATAGTGTCAAGGGTCCATCTTCTGTCTGCTTGATATCAAAATTATAAAAAAAAAAAAAACTCTAAAGGCAACTGCAAAAAACACTAGTTTGTCATTGTCTTGGTTATATTGATGTCAAAAGGATTGTGTTTTTATCTGCACCTATGAACTGGTCTCTTCAGTCTTGTTCCTCACTGGATCTACAGCCTCAGTCCATTGTCGGCTTGTCCGTTCGTGGTAGCAAATCCCTCTCTCTATATTTGACGTTTCTCACATTTTTCCCACTGAGTTGGTGAGCAGTGATGATCCGAGACATTTCTGGACAGTGGTCATGCCGCTTCCTATGGACCAATGGTTCCTGAGTGTTTGTTATTACTGTATTTCCTGTTTTCGAACTGCTTGATTCTCTGATCTGTTGCTAGTGAATCCACAACTTTGTCCTTCGAGACGACAGCTGTTGTGATTTGGGGCTCTACGCAAATACAGTGAATGAAATTAAACTTGCAGTCTTAACAGCAAAGGAGAAGCAGCTGCATCAGGCCAGACAGACCTCCTACATAAATGCAGATCTCCATCAATATTCAAGAGGAGAAAGTAGCTCAGTAGGTCAGTGCGCCGACGCAGCTAAACAGTGCAGTCCACTTACAACCGCGCTGCTAAAAACCACCTCCGTGCTGATACGAAATGTTGGAAATCTCTCCTGTTTCTCTGCATCATTTATTAAGGTGCAGCCTCTAAAATGGAGGCTACTTCAGGGAACAGTGTGAGTAGTTAAAAACCTTATGACGGGTTTTAAAAAAAAAAATAGTGCATATCAAAATTGCATGACAATGTCAATTTGAAAGAGATTCCGGCAAAAAAAATCCTATATTTTATAAAAAGAACGTGTTTTTCATGAATTTAAGTTGTCTACGCTCTAACCTGTGTGTGACGTCATAGCGGGTTACGCCCATGCATTGAAAACCATGGATCTATGCCACAGGAATGCCTTTTCTCTCTTCTCTCCACTGATGCCCAACACAATACTGCCCTCTACAGGTGACAATTGCTCACTACACATAAATTGCCGTTTTGAGTGTGAAAAAGAGTCCGAGGTGGGATTTGAACCCCAGTACCAGGATTGGCAGTCCATCGACACAACCACTGGACTATCTCAGTGACAACGAATTGACACATTGTAGTAGTTATCTCACACTCGCTGTACACGGCCTTGTCATCTTGAATATCCGCGAAAAAAGAACGAATACCAAATTGTAAACAACTTACAGCGTTGAAAGGTACCCGTTCTGACGTCACCAAGGACTGTGAAGTTTTTTCGTTTCTAAGGGCGTTGCTATGGGGTTATTTTGATTTGGGGGGATCAGACAAAAAATCAACAACTGATTTTGAAACCTTTAGTAGTTCTCTTCTAATATAAAATGGTATTAAAACTGTATTTCTAAATAAATCAAACCCGTCATAATTAAAGAAAACAAAAAGCATCATTGGAGTGATGTCACATGATCTGGTTCATGGTGTTTACTTACTGATTTAGAGATAGGAACATTAGACATTATTCAATTTGTTTAAATGTTAGTTACTCCACCTTCAAAAATCACATTGTTTTGCCAAGGACGTTTGTTTCCTAATATTTTTTGTAGCAGTAAGCTAACCTGTAATTTTGTTCAATATCAAGATATTTGGCGCAAGCAAATACATCAATACAGTAGATGAAAGTATCGCAATATTTGATTAAATATCACTTTATTTTGGTCATTTACATCTGAGGTTTATGGGACTCTTATGTCTTCTCTTTGTGATTCTAGTCTATCGTATTTGAACAGTTTAAGTGATCTGCTGCACCCATTCATATGAGAGGTCGCCTTTTCAGAGAATAAGTCAAGTCTGGTAATAAGCCCC